GAAAAAGGAAAACAGACGTGAGCGGAGCCAGAGCCTCGCCCGCCTCCCTCCCGGGCTGCGCTCCCGCCCGCGCTCCCCGCTGCCGCGGCCGCCAGCGCCGCTGCAGTGATTCCTCGTCTCCATCTAGCGAGGCTATTGTGTATTGGGCGCTTAATAATTTATTTATTCACCCTAGAGGCCAAGGACTCCCAGTGACAGTGGCATCCTGCTCCTGACTTGCCCTTCCCTCAAGTTCATCCCCAGGCTGCTGGAAGGTGGTAGTGAGATCTGACTAGTGGGATCCCAATCTGTGCGCCATCCTCCCGAATGCCCCCTTTCCCTGCAGGCTCTGCGGGTGCCAGATTGGGAGGGTACAGGCTAGCCCTCCAGTGCAATGTGACTGACCTCCCTCCCCTTGGCAGTCAAGACCTCAGGACTCTCCTCTTTTACGACGCTGAGTCTTGGAGAGGGAGGGGAGTCGCGACGTCCCAGGGAGAGCTTTTTCCCCCAGGGCTTTTCCCTGTTTGAGGCAAGGTTATCAACAAGTCGGTTCTTTGGGAAGTACCTGGTTGCTTCTTATTTTAACAAGCTGCTCGCTGCTTCTACCTCACAGGAATCTCCGCGGGCGCCATGGAGGCGCCCTGCTCATCTGTCCATGCCGCTTTATAAGCACTCTGACTGATGGTCTCTTGAGGTGGGGTGTGACAATCCCAATCAAATTCCCCCAAAGCTGGGCAATCCTGTTTTGGGCTTGGGTGAGAGAACCAGTGGCTTAAAGTGGAGGGTAGATATCACAGCTCACTGACTAAGAAAAGGGACTTTGTTCCCTTTGTCTGTTCCCAAGGGCACCCTCCAGTCGCTCCAGGTAAACCCACACCTAAGTATAAACCGCTCCACAAACCAGGTTTCAGATCAATTTTCCAGCAGTTTCCTTCATCAGAGCACATAGCAAGGCCTTCCCTTCTTACTGAACGCCTGGCTGATGTACTTGTGTGCCCCGCGAATGCCCAGTTCTATACAGGCGATGTGAGGGAAGCCTTGCCCCTTCCAAGAATGGGAAGGGGGTTTGGGAGTGGCAGGTAAGGGAACCCATAACATCAATCATCACCAGTCCTTTGACATTCCACCGTTACTGAGGCAGGGGCCTGCACTTATGAAGAGAGCTGAGGAGTAGAAGCTAGGGAAAGACTGCCAGGATAAAGGGACCCGGGGAACGTGTCAATAATTTTGTTAACCCCTTAGGCAAAAACCATGGAGACATGTGTCCCTTCATTAATTCAGTCTTTCATTCCTGGTAGTATCCACAGGCACCTAGTACAACAGTAACAAATGTTTGTAACCAATCGCATGCTATTACGGTCAGGGAGATGGGATGGGAGACACCACTGATGAGAAGGGAGCTTCCCCAGACAGCATAGAAAGAAGGAATGGAGCATAGACCTGAGGCCTGTCCGTCAACAGAAATTAAGTGATGCCGGATGCTTTCATGTCTTTGAAAATGTAACTTAAGCCAGTATAGGACTCCAGTCTTTAGCTAAGACAACAGCACCAGATACCTGGAGCCCTTGGCTACTTGAAAAATATTACTCATGCCACATTTTAAGTTCAGTTCTCATCGTCCTGGGAGGCTAAGTTATAACTTCCGTGTGGAAAGTCTGGTGTCGTTGGTTCTTTGTTTTTTGTTTTATCTTTGGGAGCCTGCCACCCAGCTTCCAAATAAATACGTGGAAATTTATTCTTACTTATGAATGTCCAGCCTTAGCTTGGCTTGTTTCCAGCCAACTTTTCTAACTTAAGCTATCCCATTTCTCTTTAACGATGTTTTGCCTCTGAGCTTCTTACCTTTCTTTATTCTATATATCTTTCTTTCCCGCTTACTCTGTGGCTGGCTGTGTGGCTGTGAAACTGGCCCCTGGCATCTTCCTCTCCTTCTTTTCTTATTCCTTGCTCCTTGCTTTTCTGTTCCCAATATTTCTCCTCCTATTTATTCTCTCTGCCTAGCAGCCCAGCCTATCCTTTCTCCTCCCAAGCTATTTACCACTGTTCAGCTCTTTATTGGACTAATCAGGTGTTTTAGGCAGGCAAAGTAACACAGCTTCACAGAGTTAAACAAATACAATATAAATAAATGAAACACATCTTTGCATCATTAAACACATATTCCACAGTATAAACAAATGTAACACATCTTAAACTAATATCCCACAACAGTCCAGAGATGTTTCCTAGGCAGAAGCAAACAGCTCTTGCCCTAAGATTCACAGATACTAACTTTTGATTGCAGGGTCAAAAGCATTCTTGACTAGGGTGTAGCTCAGTTGTTGGAGGGCTTGCTTACTGTACACAAAGCCCTGGATAGGATCCTAGGTACAGCATAAAAGGGCATGGGAGTGCACTCAGGAGGTAGAGGCCGAACCAGGAAGATGAGAATTTCAAGATCATTCTTAGCTACATAGCAAGTTGAAGATAAGATTGGGTGGGTTTGTATGTTGGTATTCAGTTTTCCAAATCCGGATCTAACCGATGAACCTCTGGAGAATCACCTGGTCCCCAACATCGTAGCCCATCTAACAGTGGGGAATGTTACAATCCCGCTTAGAATAAAGACTTCCTCCTCTATAATAGGTCTTATATGACTGTGAAGGACCTAGAGAGGTCCTAGCTTCCATCAGCCTTTCCGGACTCCTGTGACTTCTAGTATCTAATTCCAAGAGTAAGCAAGCAACTTTGTCAGGAGACAGTCCACCCCACCTTGGAAACACACGGGCCAGTGAAAGACAAAAGATGGAGGATGAAGGGAGATCTGGCTGTGGAGTCTAGTGGTTCCATTTGTCCTACCAGGAGCTGACCAAAAGGTGTGACAGAGTACCTAGTGACATCTTCTGAAGCTGTGGCCGGTTCGATAACAGCCAGTCTTGTGCTTGCTTCCCTCTTTCCCCTTTCCCCTTATTCTTGCTGCTCTGGGGTTTTGGTCCTCACTGAAGTGTCTCTGTCAGGGTTCTCCAAAGGAATAGAACAAACTGAATGGACCGATAAGAGCTGATTTATAGGATGAGTGTACACAACCAGAGGCTGCATAGTCCCACAGTGTCTAGCTGCAGGTTTAAGAACCAGAAAATAAATTACTCAGTGCAAGAAGTTGGGGACTACAGAACAAGTGAGGACAGCAGCAGCCCCAGATGAAGGCAGCAGGCTTGGAAGCTCGGAGCATCACTGAGGCAAATCCACAGCCCAAGAGTAAAGAATCCAGGGTGTGATGTCTGTAAGTGATGGTAACAGCCCCCTAAACAAACACTCAAGAGGAGTGGCCTGCGCCCTCTCATCTGAGCAACCCCCTTGACCTTTTCTCTGGACAGCTCACAGCCCATCGGATGGCACTTCTCACATTCAGGGTCTGTCTTCCCGGCTCTGTTCTCTGATCTGTCAGTTTCTGGAGGAATTCTCACAAAACCACCAGGGTGTGCTTTACCCATCGTCTATGCATCTCCATCTAGTCTGCCTCATAGACCCCACCATTCTTGGCTTTGCTTACTGAAACAAATTGATGGAACAGCCAAGTCTGACATAACATCTAGAAAGTCTATTTGACAGCTCTACTTGTAGTATATGTAAGTTGTCCCTGCTCCTTAGGAGACGGCAGGGAGCAGTGCTTGCTTACGGTGACAGCTGATCTTGGTTGTCAGCTCAGCTGGACTGATCCTTCTTTTTCAATATTTAATTACATGTATTGGGGGTGGGGTGGCACACAGGGAAGGTGGCAGCAGATGCCCTGGAGCTGGAGTTCCGAGCAGTTGTCAGTCACCTGCCCTGAGTGCTGAAGACTGAAATACAGTCACCTGGAAGAGCAGCAAAACACTCTGAACTGCATAGAGATCTTTCCAGCCCCGGCATGGCAGCTCCTAAAACTTCATCCACAGCCCATGGGAAGGAGGAATTGCTGGAAAGCAAAGCTTTATGGGATCGGGTGGTTCAGGGTGAGAGCGCTGGCTGTTGCAAGGTGTGGGCTTGGTCAGGTGACTTTTTCCTGGCGTCATCGAACACTGTAAGAACAAAACAATAGGCTCAGACAACTGATTGCCCACTTGAGCCGTGTTTTGTAAAAGCTTGAAGAACACCCACAAAACAGATGGAAAGTCAAGCCCGGTGTCTGGTTAGAAGCGGAGCCCATAGAAAGGAGAACGTCCCCATAGCCACACAGGTGTCTTCATCTAAATCAGGGCTGCTATAGGGGAAAGGTTGGGCCTTGTGATCTGACCTAGAGCCTTTTGCATAGATGAGTCTGAAGTTGTTTGACAGCCAAAGCCCCCTAACTTGTCTGTCAGGCAGATCGACTCTTTTTCTCTTGTTAAAATAGAACGGTGCCATTTGCCCTGGGTGCGACAGTGACCTCACTGAAGTGGGAACCTGGAAAGGTGATTGCTGTCCTCCTAGCTTTAGCCTTTGGTAAACAGTCCCTTCTCTGAGGCATAAGAAAAAGGTCTAGGAAGGCAATGTCCACTTCTTTGGGAAATTTGACGACAGCTGATCTCTGAAAGCTGGAAGCTGGATTTGATAATGGGAGAAGAGAGTCAACTCACATGCATCATTGGAGGTCAGTGTGGTAGCAAA